TTCGTCGACAACGCCAGCGTCATAAAACGCACTCTAAAAACTATTTTCACAGGCGTGTCGAACAATAAATTTTGGAGCGCCAGCCCCCGATCCACAACCCCAAGACCCCCGACTCACAGCCTGTGATGCCGAAAAAAGCGTAAGCAAACGTTTTTATGGCCGCCGCTCGTAAAAGTGTGCTCTGTGCGAGAATTTTGAAAATCCGCTTTTAAACGCACATGTGTGAAATCCGAGCGCTCGCGTTTTCCTTCTATTTTATTTGCATATAAAGTGGCTAGACGTATGGGGGGGTTAACTGTCTGAGCTGCTGTTGGCATTCACACGCCGGCATGTCAAATGCGCGCCTACAGCGTCGAAAGTTTAAAAGCTCCACGCCAATACAGCAATATGTCAATAAATTTTTCAAATAGCTGGCGAAAGGAGTTTGGGGAAAGCCAAACAAAAACTACTGACAGTTCAATTTAGGTGAGTATCGGCGTGAGTGTGTGTGTGTAGCAGTGTGTGAGTGTGTGTGGACAACAGATAAATACACCATTTTGGGTAGCTCAGCCAAATTGCCTGTCTATTTTGATGGCGCACAAAAGCCTTGCATACTTTTGTGCGCGCTCTATTAATCGAGCCATTGAAGAGTTTCTTTGGGTTTCGCTTTGTCTTTGTTCCATTTCCTCATCTCCTCACATCTTCTTGCAATTGCAATAGCAATTGCAATTTTTCCGCTGATGTTGCTTTTGCTGATCGATGTGGCGGCCGTTTGACAAGCAAATTAGCATGCACAGGCGACCGCAATGTCAGCTGCAGGCGGTTGGGGATGTGAAAGGAGGCAGCCAAGAGACGAGGCACGCAGGAAAAAGGCAGCCAGTCAGGCCAGACAGCATCATTTGCTGCTGCCAAGCTCAAACTGTTGCCAAATGCTGCGATTTGTGCTTACAGCTATAGCTAGATCAGCTGCAACAGCTCGCTGTTGCTGTTTTTTTTTCTTTTTGCCATTGCTGGTGTTGTTGCTGTTGCTGTTGCTTGTGGCAGCGATCGACCAACTGCTGTGCTGAGCCGTGCGCGTGTGCTGCTTGCAACGTTTTCATTTCGATCGCTTGCATCATTTGCAATGCAAAGCGAGAATCGGCAATGGCGCGTTGTTTGAATGCCATTGCCGCTGCCGATCGTTACATAAAGTATTCGACAAACTGGGCGCAGCAGCGGCAGAAGCAGCAGCCACAGCCGCAATGGCAACAACAGTTGCGGCATCTTGATCTTGTCATTCGGTCTTGCATTCAAGGTAATTTCCTGTTGGCGTTTGGCCATAAATTGAAATAATTATGCATACGCTGATTTTAATCATCTAATTGACATTTTATGATAGACATTTGTGTCTGTATGTAGTTGTATGTGCGTGTGTGCGTATGTCAGCGATAAATCAAAAGTACTATAAGGGTCATATGAAGCTTACAAACGATCGTTGATTAAGGCAAAGTAAATCAAACGCATTGAAATATAAACTATGCTGCTTGGCAATAAATGAAGTATCCGAAGTTAATAAAAAATAAATGTTCTGCAGTCTAATCTAATAATATTCAAACAATTTTAACAAATTTGTATAGTTTTGAATGTTAATTATTATTTTAAATCAAATATTTGTTTTATTAAATAAATGGGTTGAATCTTTTTCAATTCAAATGTATTTTGAGTTTAAGTAACGTTTCATGTCTTAGAAACAATTCCTAAACAGATATGGCCGATTTATATAAATGTGTCAAATGAAATTCTATAATAAGATAATATAATAAGCCATAGTTCAACACATTATGGCTAAAGGCACATTACTTACGCTTTTTACATTCAGACCAGAAAGAATACATATTTCTACAAATTTCATCACCTTTTCCTTACAGGAATCCGGCTTGATGCATGACTATTTGTTGCATTTTCTACCACAATTTGAGTCAAAATTTTCAATTGTATCTTCATTATAAATCATTGAATAATTTATTCATGGATATAGTATTGTTATAACTTTAGTTTGTAGATTGGTAATCCTTGGGAGATGGTTCCTAGCTTAGGGTCGTTAACTATTCTGAATTATCATGAACGTGCGATTGCCCAATGAGCTCGCTTAGGGCTTGCCACTGGACACGCCCACACGCCCTTTGGCCATTCCTCATTAGTTACTCAACGCCAAACGCCTCGGCAGCTCTGCCCACTTATGACACGAATCGGCATATCAGCATTGGCGACGATCGTTGGCCGTCGATTGTCGGCTGTCAGCTGCCTTAACGGACATTAACATGACATTGCATCAGAATCAGCGGCAGCAGCAGCAGCGGCTTCGCCTTATTTGCTTTTAAGATGGCTGGGTCTGTGATTTCGTAGAAAACGAAAGGCGGGCAGCACCAAGAGACAGCGACGGGGACAGCCAAGACTAGTGTCTATATACTTGTACGGGAGAAAAAAGTGTGTAGAAGAGGCCAAGGGTTTCACTTATTTTAGTGCTAATTAACGAGAACTACAACTAGTTTTAGTCGCTGTCCAAACGGATCGTACTTGGCACTGGCGTTGCATTTTTCCAGCTTAATTTGTCGCAGCTCGAACATCTCGAATTGGAAAATCCTGTTTCATATTGCATGCGGCATGCGGCATGAGGCATGAGGCATGTGGGCTGCACAAGATTGACGTGTCGTTTGTGTCATCCATGTTGTCGTCGTGTTGTACTAGTCACAGTTGTTTTTGTTGTCGCTTTCGTTGTTGTAGTTTTTCTTGCTGTTGTTGTTGTTGTTGTATTGTTCGCAGTTGCGCTTGTCAGCGACTCGGTCCGTTGCATGGTCAAGTGTCCGCTCCGCTGCATGTCTCATGTTTGTCGTTACATGCTGCACGAAGCGTGTCCGCAGCGACTGGAGGTCTGCCTGTCCCCCAGTCCCCCAATCGCCCAATCGCCCAGTCGCCCAGTCTCCCAGTCTCCCAATCGGCTATTGGCAAGGCGGCACCGGCTTCAGCTCGGACTCTGCTTTGCATAAACTGAATTGCTTGATTTGTTGTTGATGTTGAAATTGAATGAAAGTTTTTCGATGTCTCTGCCTTCAGCTTAGACGGCGGCAACATTTTCACTAAAGTGCCTGTCCAACTGCAGACGATTAGATTGTGCCAGCCAAAGTATTTGCCTAATTACCACGGCCTCTGCAGCACACACACAACAGGCATATTGATATCAACATTGGCTAATACGGATATAGTTTGTTCAAGTTTATTTGAGCTGAGTCTTAAAAATATTAAGCTAATGCGGGTATAATTGCTTAGGCCTTCAAACCAAGCATTTCAGGTTGTCGTAATCCATTGCATTCCAGTCTTTGACTGCATGTCTTCGGCTATATAGGAGAACATACTATATGAAGTGCGTGCATTTGAAAAAGTCAACCAGCTAATGGAATAAAATTAAGGTCATCATTTATTTAGAAAGTACTTATATGCTCCTTTAAATAAATCCGTTTTGACATATCTTTTCTTTCAAAATAATATAAACTGTGTTCGCAACTATTTACACATACAATACTATATATGTGTTCACCCATATCCAAGGAGTATTATCTTTACTCAAATATCATGCCATCCCTGCCAAGGCTGTATTCAAGCGCATTAATTTGCGAAAAAGACGAGGTGCTGAAAACTGCTGCAAAGATGACAAATTACAATGAGTAGATAACAATTGACAAACAATTGCGACAAATACATGCACTCAGAAAATAAAAAAATGTTCTATGTACAATCAAATACGAACTATTTCCTTAGTTGGTTAAATTCGAAAAAATGGCTTTAAATACCGAATTATCAAATTAATTAGGTTTTGGAATACATCTAAAAATTAACGAGTGAATAATTTAACAAATAATTTCTAAAATTGGTAATTTAGCTTGTCTCGAAAGTTTACAAAACTTATCCTTATAAGTACTTGTATATATTAGTAAATTTTGAATAACTATTTATTTGCAAAATACTTACGCCGGCTTATGCTGTTCAGCAAGAAGTGTTTTGAAAACTTGCATTTATAACATTAATAATATAAATTTAAATCTAAGATTGTTGCATACTTGATTCAAGTTCAAAACGTATTTAAAATTGTAAAAGAAGTTTAATCCTGCAAGTGCGTTTTATAACATGTGGCTAACAAGTTTTTGGCTTAAAGCAACCAATTTTCACTTGACAAGAAACTTGCACCTAATTTTTCTCAGTGTACTGCATACAACAACACTGCTCTTTAAAGCCACCTATAGGTGTTCTCAACTAAATTGAATTAAAACTTCGCCCAATTGGCACTGGCCTTGTAAGTAACGTACACTAAGCAACATAGAATTTGTAAGTTCCTCAACCTCAAATTCTTACTTAAGTCATATATATAATACACACACACATACATACATATGTATGTATGTACATAGTCGTAGTGTATAGTTCCACAATTTGTGCCAAAAAGCAATCACATTCATCACATTCATGTATACTATATGTACGAGTATATCCAGAATATGTACAGCTGTTCCGGCCGACACCGCTAGTGCGACAGAACGAGCCCCAAATGAAAGCAAATTAAATCAATTTAGCAAGCATAAAGGCAACGTCTATTTATATACATATAGTATGTACATACTACATAGTACATAAGCAGTTGAAAGGCGGGCGCCGTTTGGAAAACAAAAATCAGCTGTTGGGAGCGCGAGCCTCCTCCGCCTTCAAATGACAACGACAGCAAAATCAACAACAACAGCAACAATTACAGCAGCAACACTTTAAGTTGTAGTTGTTGTTGCTGTCGCCATGTGGGGCTGTGGAACTGTGGGGTTGCGGTTGCCATGGCGCGTCAACAAACCGCCGCCGTTCAGTTGCGTGCGAGGCGGTGCGCCGACTTGACAGCAAAAAGTTTTAGAGGGCACCTATTTTGCACAAAAAAGCAAAAAACAGAAAACAAAAAAACAAAAAAAAAAAGCAAAGCGAGTGAAGAAAAACAACATCTGAAAATTATGACAATTTTCTCAAAAGTAATGCTGTTGCGCGGCGGTAAGAGTTCGAGACTATGTAGTTTGCTTGAATTTGTGCTGGAAATGCAAATTAGACCGGCCTAGAAAATCACAAGTTGTGCGGGCCATTATGCAATCTCATCGAGTGCTGCAATCTCTGCCATTTACAGTGTGCTCTGGATCCGATGCTCGTCTGCGTCAATATAGCTCGGCAGCGCAGTCGCAGCTGCGCGAGCTGCTCAGCGACCAGCTGTCGAGCATCAAGGAGGCGGGAACTTTTAAATCGGAGCGCATTATCACCTCGTCGCAGAGCACACAGATAACGGTGCAGGGCAGCGATCAGAAGATCCTCAACTTTTGTGCAAACAACTATCTGGGCCTGGCGGTGAGTGCGCTGCCGAAATACTTGTACAATATACATATTTTACTTACGCGGGCAGAGGGGGAAAAGTTGGCAACAGTCTCAGAATCGCGTTCCCTTTGGAAGACATTTTATGATTGTCGCTGGGGGTTAAGTTGCATATTACTTAAAATATATACAGAGATTGCAAATAGTCGGCATAATCTAATTTGCGGACATCCAAGTTTAAAAACAACTACAAATTGGAGAAGAAAACTTAATAAATAATAAAGAATATTATACAATTGGGTGGAAGATATCTCAGTTTATTTACAGTATTACTTTTAATATATCTGCCATCCTCTTCCAAGAGTTAATATATATTTTCTGCATTTTAGGAAGGTTACACGATGCACTGATTAGTGTTCATCTTCATTACTCGAACGAGTTTTATTTATTTATTTATATTCATGTCAACAAACATTGACTGTCGACTTAAACACAATATATAAAAATTATATACAAAAAACTGATAAGCTAGAAAAGCCTAAGTAGGAGAAATCTAATCAGATTACAATAACAACTAGTAAAACGCCTACGACCCGATGGCGAATATTATTTCCCTTCTGGAAAGCTATGCCCCGTCTTACAGCCAAGTGTGGTCAGAGGCGTCAATATAGTAGATCTACCAATATAAAAAGAAAACACAGAACTGGGAGGAGAAGCTTAGAGTTAATTAAAAGCTAATTAAGGAATTTTAATTAAAACGTCTATATGCATTACTTTTTTTTGTAAACTAACAATTCTGTTCAATGCTATTTAGACGCTATTATTCCTATATATTCCGAAGCTAGCGTGTGTACTTAATTTCTATTTCGTCATCCATGGCAGAACGATCCGCAAATTGTGAAATATAGTCAGCAGCTGCTGGAGAAGTATGGCGCAGGACTGAGCTCAGTGCGCTTTATTTGTGGTACCCAGGACATTCACAAGCAGCTGGAGCAGAAGCTGGCGCGGTTCCATGGACGCGAGGATACCATTTTGTACGCCTCGTGCTTCGATGCGAACGCGGGCTTATTCGAGGCCATACTCACGCCAGAGGATGCTGTCTTCTCGGACGAACTGAACCATGCCTCCATCATCGACGGCATACGTCTGTGCAAGGCCAGGAAGCAGCGCTATAAGCATCGCAACCTGGCCGACCTGGAACAGCAGCTGCGGGCAAGCGATGCTCGTGTCAAGCTCATTGCCACCGATGGGGTCTTCTCGATGGATGGCAACATTGCACCGCTGGCGAGAATTGTGGAGCTGGCCAAGAAATACAATGCACTGGTGTTTGTAGACGAATGCCATGCCACGGGCTTCTTTGGAGCCACGGGACGCGGCACTGAGGAGTATGCCAATGTTATGGGTGAGGTCGACATTATTAACTCGACCCTGGGCAAGGCATTGGGTGGCGCTTCCGGTGGTTACACGACCGGACCTGCGGAGCTGATTTCCTTTTTGCGGCAGAAATCACGGCCCTATCTGTTCTCCAATACGCTGCCGCCCGCCGTTGTGGGTGTGGGCCTAAAAGTTATGGATATGCTGCTCACCTCCAGCGAACTCACCCAGCGCGTCCAAAGCAACACACTGAGATTCCGGTCAGCCATGACCAAAGCGGGCTTTGTAATTGCCGGCGAGGAACATCCGATCTGTCCAGTCATGCTGGGCGACGCACGCTTAGCCTCCGCATTCGCCGATCAAATGTTGTGTAAGTAAACACTTCTAGGCATTCAAATGCCATATGCCAACGATTAGAATGTTGAAGTCGTGCCAGCCAGACTCTCGAATGCACTGTAAATGGCTCTTTCCCCTTTCACCAGAAACATTTTGAGGATATATCTAAGCGCAGATACATATACATACATCCATTGAGATCACTTTAGATTTAAGAGCAGGCTCTCAAAAAACCGTAAATAACTGCATTATTGTCGACACTTTCAGCACGTGGCATCTATGTTGTGGGCTTCAGCTATCCGGTGGTGCCACAGGGCAAGGCTCGCATACGCGTGCAAATCTCTGCCGCGCATACGGAAGCGGAAATCGATCGCGCCATCGCAGCATTCGTCGAGGTGGGCCGCACTCTGAAGGTGATCAAATGAGAGGCGGAGTTGTTGGCGCGAATCGTAAATTTCAAGTATTTTGTGTTGCATTTATGTGGAAACCTATTGCATTTACGAATAAAGACAAAGAGAACTAAATAAATGTGCGAGTGGCGAGGCCTAAACTTCTGTCTATCGCTGCAGATTCTTTCACTTTGGGACTGTGGGGTTTTTGCTCTATCATCAACTGGTTTTTGGTTACAGACACATATACATATACAGACATATACACATACATATATACATACATATATACAGAAACAGAGAGGCAGGCAACGGTCACATAATTCGTGTTGCTGCCTCATCATTCTTAAGCTGCAAGAACTTTGTGCCAAGTTATTTTTATCAGCAACATTTTGCTGCCGTTGCATGTTAGCAGGGACCAAAAGCCATAGCCACAGACACAGACACAGCCTCAGCCACCAGCCAGCAGTAAGAGCAGCCAGAGCTTAGCCTGAATCATGTGCCCGGTCTGTTTTATCGACATTCCCTTTTTTCGCTGCTGCCTCAGTGTGTATCCACCATAAAGACAACACACAACGGCTTCACGATCTTCAGAATGTTTTGTCTCGATCACTGAAATCATTCAATCAGAACGCTTACCATCAACATCAGCATCAACATCAGCATCAACAGCAACATCAGCAGCAGCAGCAGCAAGCTTTGGCTCGTCCGGTCGCTGGACAGCTTGGCTTACATGCATACTCGTACATACATACAAGTACATGGTAACAAATTATATAAAGTCAGCTAAGCTCTGCACACACATGTGTAAGTCTGTGTACAAGTATATACATACATATATACATACATACATACATATATGTCTGCCTGAAGTCGGGCCTAAGTAGAATCTGGTTTTGTACTTTTAAGGCGACTCAATGAAATCGTTGCAATCGAGATGCGAAATTGTCGAGTTTTTATGATTGAAAGTGTTTCCAGCATTTGCCACCAAATTGAAGTTGTTAGTGCAAAGCAATTGAACTTCAGAGTGCTCCAGAGTGAGAAGCATGTCTATACTTAGCGTACATACAGTTATCTTGTTATGACTGTATTTTTGAACCCATTTAGATCAAAAAAGTACCGCTCGAAGGCTATTAACTTGGTGATCATTTCGGCAATCATTTGAGAATATAACGAGGTCAAGTGGAAATAGGGGAAGCACAGGATCGAGCTGTGGTTAAGGTGGCACAGAATGTGACACCGTCTGTTATTTAGAATTTGTTTAATTCTTATCAAAATTTAAAAAAAATCAAACAAAGAAACAAAACGCAGTCGGAGTTGTTATTAGTTCCTTTCATAAATTTCACTTTCTTTTTATTCATTAAATTAATTAGCATTTAAATGCCTTTTGCATTCAGAAGAAGAAAGAAACAAAATAAAATAAAATTAAAGGATTGCATTTCAACCAATAGAATGCTATTTATATGTTTATTTGAGTAAATCACTGCCATATATTTGGTTGTTTATTTATAACTTAACAGCTTTTCTTAGCCAGAAAGTCCTCCGAAAATATCAGGATCCGCATGAGCTGGAGAGATCTTTAAACAACACCAAATATAAACAGATAGGTCTAGATAATCCAAGTTAAAGTAATTACAAACAATACATAATCGTAATATTTTACAAGTATATATTTGCTATTTGAAAGATCGTTGATAATATGTTTATCTTAACGTCGTAGTTGATGCATTTCTATAAAGTAATGTTATGTCGAAATCGAAGCACTCTCTCTAATAGAAATAATTGTGCAAAAATCATTCTTGGCTTTCTTTTTAATAATATCTTGATTATAAAAAAATTAGAAGTCACTGCATAGAACAAAAAAAGGTTAAAACAAACGACTGAAAAGCCTGCGGCCAAATCTTCAAACTTTTATAAGCTGACAACAAAGAGGATTCAAAAACGGAATTGTGTTGTGTTGAATCCATGGAAAAAATGAATAACATTTAAATATTTGAACAAATCAATCTGTCACATATTTACACGAGAATATTGTGTTTTTGTTCCTTTCAAAAAAAGGCGATGCTTGTTGTCTGAGTCTGCATTCAGACACAGCTCAGAGCATCGAGGCGGTGATGGATTGGATACTGGGATTCCAGGATATTTGGATTACTAATCAAAAAAATCAAAGAACTACATTCCTTACACTTCCCATTTTATTCGTACTTGCTACCCCGTCTCCTAAATAGGCCTCATTACATGTTTGTTTTGCAATCACCAAATTAAAGAAAATATTATCGAGAATAAACAAATATTTAGTCAATTCTATTTTGAAATTGTTTAAAAAAAAGCAATGGCTTTAATTTGCACGAATCATTTTTTTAAAAGTAATTTAGCCGAATGCTGAATTGCGCTCACACGGTAGCAACAAATTTATGACGTTCTACACTCCCCACTTTGTCAAAACGGAGAACAATACCCAAAAAAAAAAAGAAGTGCAACCGCACAGAAATTTGGGCAGCATTCAGACCCGGCTAAAAAAGCGGTCCAGTTATTGGACGTCGGTAAATTTATGCGCTCGAACGCCACCGCCGCATGACAACGAAAGGAGAAGGGAAGAGAAGCAAAGGTGGCGAAGGATGCGGATGTGGTTGTGGGGATGTGCATGTGTGTCGCCGCACTTGCAACGCCATAAAGCATGTTTTTAAAATTCCATTAAAATTTATTAGCATTTCACACAAAATGTGCATAAATAACAAATTTCGGGACTTTGATACGAAACGGTGGTCCGAGGGCCGTTCTGAGCTCTGCAGCCACTGCCACATGTCTTCGCTTATTGATGGGCTCCCGCTCCATGGTCGCCAGTTGTTTTACACGTTCGATCAGAAAATTTGGGTCCGCGTTTAATGATAAAAAATTGGATAACCTGGGCGCGGGTCTGCTGGAGCGTTCAGTTATCTTGAGCATGCTGCGTTTATAAGTAGTCGGAGGTTGAGATTTCCTAAATTTATGTGCATTGCATTTAATTGGAACGGCATGAGTCTCTGTTCGGTAAACAATTTTCGAAACTTCTGTTTGTTTTGCTTTTATTTTGTAGTTTTTTTTGTGTGCCTTTTGTTTATAGATGCATTATCTAAACAAATACGAAAATAGCTCATTAAAGGCATCGCGTAAAAGCGAAAATCGTAGCCCATTAAACTAGACAGCGCTCACCAACTACTTGGGCAGCATGGAGCGATACAGATCTTGGAGCGTCTTGGGCACACTGTGCGCGCGTCCAACTGCATGTAAATAATTTGACACACGAGCAAGTCTGCGGCTCAGAAAACAAAAACTAGCGGCAGCAACAACAACAACAACAACCAAAGGAGCAGGGCAAAGAGGCTTGTTGGTCGCAACTCTGCCAGCAAAGCCAAAGCACAAACGCAAGCACAAACAACGAGCTAAGAGTTGCACCGAATCTATACACTCTCCACAGAGCCTAAGAGCATATACTGTATTCCCTCCTTATGCCATTAGTAGAATTTTTTTTAAGTGATATAAGTAGCTCTCCTCTGTTAGTAGAGTATTATCTGAAAGAGATTTTGGCTCCTTATGCTAATCATATGAGTCTAAATTGGGACTCGCACAGTCGCTGGCCTAGCTCTAGGTAAAAATTAATACAAGTAGATCTAAAATCACTACATCGCCGTAGAATTTGTTTAGCAGTCAGGAGTCCTTCACAAACTTCTTGCCGGTGATATAGGGGGAGTCTATATTCCATAATCCTATATTTCCTTCTTGGTCTCGTAGACTTGGCAGTTCCCTTGAGATTGTAAATCAATTTTGCCTTTAATGAGTCCTTGTGCTCCAATTATAAAATTTTTTCTGACAACATAACCCTCGAACACTTCATTAAGCCTATTTCATCATTAAGATACTTGCACCTTGATTCAGACAATCTATAATCCTATCCTACTCCACTACTTGTTTCACTCTTTAATTTTATTTTAAGTTATACTATGTAATATATTGAATTCTTTTTATTTAAATATATAAGTTTTTTCCCATTATTATTTAAATTTATGTTGTTTTTTTTTGCAAAGTTAGCAGTTCTTTGTTAACTATAAATAAACAAATAAATTAATAAGTATATGTAATATGGGGTCTGATATCCTTTGACTTATACACCAAACTAAATATACCCTTAAGCTATACAGTAAAGGGTATAAAGAGACAAGTGTGCAGACAAACGCAAATTCAAACTCAAGTGTTGCGCACTTCACACAACTGAGGAGAGAGAGCGAGGGAGAGAGAGACAGAGAGCGCGCATGATCGACTAATAAAGAGAGAGTCGGGATGAGAGAGACCGCGGTGGCTCCAAACTGAACCCAGTATTCCAGGCACTCGTCACAAACATTCTAGAGCCCCACAGGTAGATTGCCAGTGCCTTTCTTTGTACCCCAACTGCTTGTGCATCGTCATCATCGCCACCTGTTCTTGCATGTGTGTGTGTGTGTGTGGGTTCTGCTGCAGCGCAGTGTTCTTGCGACGCGCCGTGATTCCTGCAGCCTGCAGACTATAAATGACAGCTCCTACTGCCATTTCACTTTTAGTCTTCAGGTGTCAACGCTGGCGAGCAATTGCGGCCATGAACCGGATCGGACTAAGCTGTAAGTTGGCCAACGCCCCCTTGACTGACAAAACCTTACCTTTTGGGCAGTTGCAGTGTTGGTGCTGGTGCTGACGTTGATGGGGGTGCCGCTGCAGGGCAATACCATCAAGGAGCGCAACCTCTTCGCCACCGAACTCTTTCAGACGCTGGTCACAGACCGCCAGCAGGAGAACGTCGTCATCTCGCCCGTAGCCGTGCAACTGGCATTGGGATTGGCCTACTATGGGGCCGAAGGCAAGACGGCAACGGAGCTGCAGAAGACCCTGCATGCCTCGGCCAAGGAGAGCAAGGATGGGCTGGCCGAGAGCTACCATCGACTGCTGCACTCCTACATTAAGTCCAAGACCGTTGTGGAAATAGCCAACAAAGTGTACACGCGAGAGAATCTGAAGGTGGCCTCCCATTTCCGGGAAGTGGCACAGAAGTACTTTGACTCCGACGTGGAGGAGCTGAACTTCGAGAATGAGGCGGAGGCGATAGATCGCATCAACAGCTGGGTGAAGGAGAAGACGCAGAACAAAATCGAGAACGTAGTCGATTCACTCGAGCCGGACACCAACGTTGCTCTGGTGAATGCGATTTATTTCAAGGCGCGCTGGGCTCGTCCCTTCAACGATGAGGACACGAAGGAGCGCGATTTCTGGCTCAGCGAGCAGCAGTCCATTCAAGTGCCCACCATGTTTGCGGACAACTGGTACTACTACGCCGATTACCCCGATCTGGATGCCAAGGCCATTGAGCTGTTCTTCGAGAACATCAACATGACCATGTGGTTTATTTTGCCCAATCAGCGGAGCGGCTTGTCGGCGCTGGAGCAGAAGCTGAAGGGCGTGGACTTCAAGCGGCTCGAGGAGCGCTGGACTTGGCAGAGTGTCTCGGTGTATTTGCCCAAATTTAAGTTCGAGTTCGACACCGATTTGAAGCCCACATTGAGCAAGGTTTGTTACACTCACCCACAATATATTTAGCTTTTCCCTTACACTCTCTCTTTGCGCATAAAATCCAGCTGGGCATCAACTCCATGTTCTCGGACTCGGCCGATTTCAGCAACATTTTCTACGAGTCACCAATTGGCACGCGCATCACAAAAGTGCAGCACAAGACCTTCATTGATGTCAACGAGATTGGCTGCGAGGCTGCTGGACTCAGCTGTAAGATCTCTGGCTCAATCCTCACTCTATCCATCACTCGATCAGTCTATCGTTAATTCGCAATTTTTTGTTCGATCTCCTTACAGATGCTGCGGGCGTACCCATGTCGTTGCCATTAGACCCGAAAACCTTTGTCGCCGATCATCCATTTGTATTCATTATACGCGATCAGCACGCCGTTTACTTTACTGGACACATTGTCAAATTTTAATTTTAGTTTTTAATTCTCTCCGCATACATCACACTGTATTTTATTTGCAATAAATATTCAACTTTTACAACAATTTGTCTGCTCGCTCTTAGTATTCGAAGCTGGTGCATTTTGGTAGCATCGTGGACGCACATTTTCCCTTTGCCACGATAAGGAGAGCTGTTGGGGACATCAGTAAAAAGTATTTAAATAATCAAGTATTTGAATTATGTGCTCACGAATTCTTCCACTATGAATGCGCTCGCAATTCAATTGGTTGACCGCACAGTGGTCTACGGTTAAGTAGCAGCCTTTGAAAGCGCAGTAGGGTATATAAGCGGAGCCACATATTTGATCGCACTCCTTTAAGTGCGTATCGCAGATGACTCCGACGACAAGCGAGGTCAGCACTTATATATAGTAGTATATGAAAAATGATAAAGTTCGCCTGCAAAGGATGCAGATCAAGCAATATACAAACCTAAAGCTGGAATCGCGAACAACTTCATTGCAATTGCGAGGCTGGCAAAGAAACTAGTGGCATTCGGGTGGGCTCCGAGCTAATCAACTGTCTAACAGCCATATCAAATAGCCATGTTAATTCGATTAGAAGACAGAGAGACCACACCATCAGTGACTGTAAGCACACAGAAAAATTGTTGTTGAAACTCGTACGTGATTGCTGGGCGCTGCTAAAAATACACATGCAAGCGCAGGGGCTCGATAAATAATGAAATTAAATGCTCAGATAAATAATGTTCAATATGTGTTTGCATACACAATTGACCCAAAAATTAAACTCCGCCGTGTTTTCGAAGAAAGAAAATAATGTAAGAGTGCTTGAAATAAGAAATACAGTACACACTGGGATGAGTGCACAAATAACAGAGTAACGAGTTCTTTTTATTGACTTTTCAAAAAATCTTATTAACTCAACTAATCTTCCTTAGAAAATTGTGTCTTTTCAAAAGCACCACAGATTGGTAACAGATTTTCAGAATATGCATCACGATTTGAAGTCGGCTGATCTTAACTGGAGTTTAAATAGCTGTGTTGAAATAAATTTGTTTTATTCTGGGTAAGGTTCTGCCGCACCTTCACAATAGGCAATATTCTATTATTGAGATGAAAAGTCAGTTAAAGTGTTCTGAACATTAAAATCGAAAGTCATCTCAATGGAATTAAGTAATTTGAATTCTGCCGATTTGATAGAAGAAATTAAAATAAAGCATTTAATTAAAACAAAAGTAAAGATCTAAAGATTTTATATTGATTTTTATCATCTGTTTAAAGGCAGTGTGATTCATATTTTTGTAGACCATTTCACATCAAATTTAAATCAAAGACAGATTCAATTTATATCGAGAGCGCAGTTGTAGTAATAATTGGATTCAAAAGCTTGATTGTGTTGCTTTTTGTTGCACAATATATACAAATATTTCTTTAGCCATGAGCTATTTATTTAAGCCACAATTGTCTGTAGAATTTTAAAATTAAATTCCGTTACGGTTATTTTAAATGAACTTTATCGAGGAGTTTACCGTAAAGCGAATGAGTTAAAAGTTTTTCTGTGGCCAGAAATGAAGAAATAATGCGAAATTTACATGCCCTGCGAGTTCCATTCAATAATTTCACTCGACTGCTGGCGAGGTAGGGAAATACTTGTATCTCAGGTCCTCTTTCTGTGCGATCTACGAGCGGGCTTCTGCGGATGTGGAGTGTGTGTGTGTGTGTGTGAGTGAGTGTGTGTGTGTGTAATGTTTTATTGCATAAACGTGCTAGGGGACCCATTTGCTGCTGCACATCAGTCCAAATAATCGCTCAGAGGTGCGCGCACTCTCTGTCTGTACTGACTATTTCAAGTATGTAGGTATGTCTGTCTGTATATCCACAAGCATTTTGTACGTTTTTTTAAGGCTCATGCACCTGCCGTTGCTGCCACTTTGAATGCAAGGCACACACACACACACACATGCACAGTCACCTCTTGAAGTAGGGGGAAACAAAGAAAAAGTTGTGAAGAAGCATAATTCTAACAAAGGGACGCGCACCGAGAAAGACGTGACAAGGGCGCGCTGTAGGAATTACAATTACACGATCTGCCATTCCCAGTATTTTCCACTAGAGAGACGAACCAGTATTTCGAATGAAGTCCCTCTCTCGCGCACTCACGCAATCACGCTCTCGTGCGCTCGCGCTCGCGCTCTCGTGTTCAAAACGATCGCAGCCAGCTCTGAAGCTGTTGTTGTTGTTCTTATTTTGGAGTTCGTTCTTGTTGTTGGCGCTCGGCGTGGAGCCGCAAATCGCATCGTGCAGCCGCTGCTGTCAGTCTGCTGCGTGCTTCGTACGACTACAAACCCACTTCGGCGCGTTGCCAGCGCTTTTCGCATTTGTTGTTGCGCGTGCGTCGTGCGTTTGAAAGTGCAACAATCGTTGGTAACAACAACAGCAACAACAACAATACACTCGTATGTATATAAATATGGGCATCCTTGTGCATGCTCCTTCGCGTGTGTGTGTGTGTGTGTGTCTGTGTGTGTAAGTGTTGGTGGGTTTATCATGCATTTCAAATCAGTGTAAGCCTTTTGTCTTGAGGCTTGCGTGCCCCAACAGGCTACTTGAAAAACGGCAGCCTGCCTTTTTAGTGCCGTGCCAGAAACCACAAAGAATTAAATCAAAATTGGCAACACGCTTGCGAATACAACAGTGCAGCCTGCCGCTTGCCGCTTGCCGCCTGCAGCCTGCAGCGGTCGAAGCCACAACTTCTGCCCAAGTGTGTGTTTGTTTGTTTTATGTATTATTATTATTTTTTTTTTTATTATTTATTTTGTTTCGCTACCGATCGATCCATCTCCATCCAGCTCGAACGTTGGCGCGCGCGTTATTGGGAAAATTGCTGCTGCCAAGTGGAAAATGCGCTCAATTATTTTAAATGCTTTCATTAATTTTTCATGATTGCCACTGCCCGGAGTATGACAATTTCATGCCTCCTCGGATGGTGTTGTGCTCACATTGCCATTAGATATTGAAGCGCACAAAATTTTGAAATGAAATGCCTTGCTATTAATTGTAGGCTGTGTGTTAATCAATGCGCTGTTTAATTTGCTCGCCAATTGCTCACCACTTGGCCGCCTTTGGCGTCACTTTGGGATTTGATTTGATTCGATTTTTTTTGCGACTGTTTCCAAGCCGCATAACTATCATGTACAATTAATTTTTATGGCCTGACAAAAGCCACACCGCGTTTCGGTCTGAACCAGTTTCCAGTGAAGTGGCCACCAAATCGACGAGCACTCAGCAATTTTTTATAACTAAACATGAGCGCACAATATACCCGTACTCGTACTATAGTGTATGCGAAACAACGACATCGACTGAAAACACTAAGCCTCGAATTGTTGGCATTTGAAAAAATTTGCCTTCGTTGATTTATGTTCGCGATTAAAGGCAGCGCGACACACACAGGCGCTGTGCCTCGAAAATTAATAAGAAAAATTCCTCAGCAGCTCAATGTTTATGTGCACAAAGTGTTGAAGCAAGCATAAATGCAAATAAAACAGCAACAAATAAAAAGCACATTTAGCAAACAAATCCGAATCGAGATAAGAACAGGGATCTGCATCAGACGTGCGTCTTAAAAATGGATACAACAACAACAAACCAAACGCACGTGGAGCTCGAACGGTGAGTGGAACACAAGTTTTAGATACACATAGGGCTCAATAAATATGTATGTATTTAACAATTTACTTCTTTCGCATTTTGCGATAAAATATCTCACATTTCATTTGCATACTTAAAGATACATTTCAACACAAAACCAAAACATCCAAGCGTCTTTTTAAAATATGGGTTATTGGCTTGATGTTTCAAGCACACTTCATTGCTTATTTGAATGTTGCTGCTTGGACGTGTTTAGGTCCGTCAAGATGTTTCCTTAGCCAACATTTGGCAATTGGATTGAATTGTTTACCGTTGCTAAAATTAATTAACATACGCATTCACGCCAAGGTGGAATATATGTTGTATTTTTGCATTAATTTACAGAATCAACAAACAACAAATATTTAATTAACACTTGAAAGTTGTCATTTGAGCTCTCAGACATAAGCATAGTTCGCGATGTGACCCATAAAGACAATCGAGTCCCGGAATTTGATGGCGAACACAAACGGGTGGTCGGCCTCGAATTTCTTTGAGCGCGAGAAAAGGCTCTTCAGTACTACGAAACGATCGAATAATATTAGACATGAAGTGTTAACTCGGACATATTGCTCTTACCGCCCGACTCGAGTGGCTGTTCCACGCCCGCCTCCGAAACCTCCACATGGGCCTTATGCTCCACACTATTAATGAAATGGCTGACGAACATGCGGTACATGTTTCCAAAGTCGCCATCGCGAGAGAACATGGTAGATATGCCCAACTGTAAGCGTAAGAAGCGAATAAAAATCAAGAGGAAGGTCTTGCGGGATTGGTTGGACTGCCACCCACCTGCTTGAACGGCTGTTCCAAGCTCACGCCGAAGGTCACGCTGAACTTGGGCAACTGCACCTCCACCTTCTGCACGCTCATGTCGCGATCGATCTCGCTCAAAAGATTCTTTCCCACCAGGCTCTGCTGCAGGGCACGAAGTCCATCCTTGCGATTGGGCAGCACCAGCAGCATGGAGTACTCGGCATTCTGGTATGGCAGCTCCACAACCTTGGCGTCTAGGCTGCGCACCTCGGCGTAGTTGAAGTTCTGCAGCGTCCACATGGTGTCCACTTGCACGGATTGGCCATTGCCCGTGCGGAAGGATCGTTTCGCGGTCTTGTCCAGCTTGAAAGCCTTCTGCCAGGGCGCCCCAAATGCTATGCCATTCACGATGACGGCTTCGGTGCGATCATTGAGCAGCTCTGGCTTCAGTATGTTGGTGATCTTGTTATTGGTTTTGGTCTCCACAATGCGATTAATATTCTCAGCCGTGCGCTTATTGTACGGTGGATGGAAGTCCAGCTTATCGATGTTCGAGTCAAACTGACGCTGGGCAAGATCGCGGAAAGCACCCTTGAACTCCAGATTCTCATTGATGTAGATATTGTTGGCCAATCGCAGACTGTTGTCTCGCGTCAGCGACTGTTGAAAATCGCCAAAACGGCGCGCCACCTCCTCAGCATCGGCCGAACCGAGCCGCATGCCCTGTTGCAGCTCACTGGCTGTGCGACCCTTGGCGCCATAAAAGGCCAATGCCATCGAGGATTGGATGGCAGCTGGCGAGATCACCACATTCTCGTTAACATTCTCACCGCCCACAGCATTATAGAGCTCAGCACTTAGCAGATTTCGCTCAATGGCAGTGTCGGTGCCGGAAATTGTCTTGGCACCGCAGATTCCCAGGAGCGACAATAAAACTGTAAGAGTGCATTTCATTATTGGAGCAGTTGCCGCAAGTCTGCCTACTCTGGCTTACGTAATAGGCAAGGCCACTTCATCTTGTCGATATATTGTATATACAAGTATTAGTGTATAGTATACAATTTTGATGATGATACCGCCGGGCGTTTTTGCTCAAGCAATTGGCACTTTTAGTTGTCGACTTCAACGTCTGAATGAGAACTGAAAAGCGAGCTGGCTTTGCTAACGACTGTCTGCCCTGGGTCTGGGCTTTTTAGAAGTTGTTTTGAATCAGAAACGCTCGCCTATTACTAGCATATCTGCTCACAGTGTACAATGGGACAAAAACAATGTTCTTCAAACTGATTTCAAAGCAAACTAAGAATCTTGCGTCGTATAAAGCCCGTACTGTCAGATGTTTCATCGCTCGTGTGTCTCAAATGCTGGCTATGGATGGTCAAATGAACATATGAGATAAGATTCTTTTATTACGATATTTGTATACCAATCTGATCTGATCGGATCATTATCAATCTATTCTGAGTGTAGCAATGAGAAGAGAGAATGACTAATAGAATGTACCACACCCATTCCTATAAATGTCCTTAATTTGTGCCTTTGAAATAAAATTTAACTCTAACAAATAAAATTTAATCTCTAGCTTGGGGAATACATCCTTTTCTTCCACGTGAAACTATCCTCTAACCTTTTAACGATATTCTAAATAAAGACAATATTAGACCTTTTAATTCTTGATGGAATCTCGTCTATAATTATCCATCTTAAATAATAGAAAGCACATCTAGAAGTATTAGAAAATGTTATGTTTTTCATTAATATGGATTCTGTGTGCCCCACTGTGCATTCAAATAGCTTTTGTTCGAATTAGATCAAGCACGACTGATGGCTCGGCTTGGGTACGCCAAACGCTCTCTTGGCAGATAGAGTAGGCTTTGTTTACGGATCATTTATCACCTTTGGCATAATGTTTATTTACTAACTGATAACGATAACCTTTTCAAGAGACAACCAAAACAACATCGGCTTCAACCTTATGCGCTGCCTTGAATAGTAAAACCACAAAGTGTCTCATTAATACACTATATATCGACTATATGGCCGGCCAAGAGCACCACATCCTCATTGCTGATGACAAAGTAGAACGGATGATTGATCACGAGGGGCACCGTGGCTCGAAATAGATCCCCAAAGGCTGCAACTGTAGGGCCGATATCGAAATATGTACTATTCATGTCAAGCTATCTCATCAGACTTACAGAACGTGCCTCCTGCGTCGCCACCTCTCTCGTCGATCTCGAGGACAACGGTGTGAGCCACTGTGCTCAAATGGGGCGCCGAACTGGAGAGCAGAGCGCTGAAGATATTGCTAAACTGCGCTTCATCCGTAAACATCTTTCCCATGCCGAGCTTTAGGACAAACAGTAGAAATGTTAGCAAGCACAAACATGTGGAATCTCATCCGCTCACCTGTGTCAGCGTTTCCTTCAAATTGTTGTGCACCACCAGGCTGAACTTGGGCAGCGTTAGTGCCACTTTCCGCTCCTGCAATTGGCGACGCAAGTGCTGCAAGTTTGTGCCCAAAAGCTTACGCTCTAGGGCTGTCAGACCCGTCACTTGATTGGGGTACACAATGAGCAGACTCAGGCTTGAGCGGTCGTACGGCAGCTCTATGATACGCGCGTCCAGATCCTGCACCTCTGCATACTTGAAACGATGCTGCGAGAACATGGCATCCACAAGCTTGAAGTTGTGTTCATTGCTGAAGAAATTCAAGCGTTCTGTCTCCTTGGCATCGAAGGCCGCCGCCCAGGCCCCGCTAAAAGTCAGCGCAGATACATGCAGAAAGGGTGTGTCCTCCATGGCCAGTTCAAGCAGAGGGGCACTGACCACCTCGCCCACGCTGTAGTTGGTGCGCGTTAGAAAATCGTAGTTGATGCGCTCTGCCGCGGTCGAGGCTTTGTCGAAGTCCAAGCGATTCGTTCCAATGCCCATCCGCCCCGCCTGCACTTCGAACTCGTCTCTGAAGTCAAAGGTGTAGCGCTGTCGCGTGTAGAATTCGCTTAACAGCCTCATCTTACAGCTAATGGGTGGCGCCTGTTTCAAAGCAGACATCAGCTCCTGGAAGCGAAGCACCACTTGCCCTGGAGAGCCCAAATGCTGCAGCTGCAGGGCTCTTCTTAGCTCTCGGGCCGTAGGGGACTCGCTTGCTGCCCCCGCATAGAGCAGAGCAAGAGCGGACTGCAGCAGAATGGGTGAAACGGCCACATTATGCTGAGGTCGTCCCACTCCCAGGCTGGTGGAGAGCAGCAAGGCGAAGTGCTCATTGGCCTCGCTAGTTCCTGAACTGCCAGTCCCACTGCCGCCTGCGAGCCAACTGGCCGCGAGCAGCAAGAAAATTGTAGTTCTAAGTTCTATCCAATTCTTGGCCATGTTCAAAGCTAGGTTATTCCAAGCTTTGAGATGACGGCGTTGTAGCTTCTGAAGTCTACATATAACTAAGCACGACGCAACATAAATGGAAAATCCACACGCTATGAATTGATCAGGTTTTCAGTTTATTATTGTTGTAGATTTTATTTACGATAATTTTGGAGGCAAACATAATCAAAGCTCAAGAATTTCAATTGAAATTCCATAGTGATAAGGCAACAGACCACTTATGGAATGTTTTTGTGCTCCATAATTCGAATCAAGCATAGACGCGAGAATTCGCCTCTGCCTACCTGACCTAGTATTTCATGGGAGCTACTTAGACCAGTGTAGTAATGTTTATAATCTCTCTGTTTCTCAAATCTTTCAATCATTTTGTATTTGTAATATAATACTTACGACGACTCTGTTGAAATCATGTTCTCAGACAGACCCTCTGTAGCAGCCTTGCTTCTCTCTTCATTCTCTCTTAACTCAAATTTATAGAAGCGAATAGATATATGTCTGGCAAATCTCTTTGTCAATAATTAGAAAAGTGTGCGCCTTTCAACAGCGTTTCAATTAGTCAGCACCCCTAGACAGCGTTGTAGCCCTCGAAGTTGGAATTCCCATAGCAATTAGAACAACCAATTGGCATCTCGCCGGCTGTTGGACTACAAATTTAACGAGGAAGTTTTCAAATAAAAACAAGTTAAGAACAGGCATCAGTCATCGATCATGGTTTCATTTATCAATTGAATATATTGTTTACTTAAAAACAAGTTGCAGAGCCACCAATGGCGTCACAAACTTGCTCACGTTTAAGATCAGAGGGGCAATGCCAATTGGCGAAACGGGTTTCGCGCTTACAAACCCAACAAACCCAACAGACCCAACAGGCAACGTTGTGGGCAAATCCGTGCTGGAAATTCTCACAGCATCATTGGAAAAGGTACAACATTTGAATAAGCAAACGCTGGCGGCGCATATGGAATCTTAGCTGCATGATCGAGCCTCAAAGGTTATCAGCAGATGTTTGTTTTATATGAGTATTTATTATACGTACTATGTAGTAGCGAAATGTTGCGTTAAAATAATATAAAATACTAAGCACTTATCACTAGAGAGTCGACTCAGCTCGCCGCATGGGGGGGATCCACCACATGGCCAATGAAGAGCACAGCGTCCGGTGTGCGAATGGCAAACACAAATGGATGGTCGGCGTTGAACTCACGAGCCTTGACGGGCAGCGAGAGTGGCACAAACTTGGCATCTGAAATGGGGGAAGACAAAAGCAACATTATAATTGGTCCAATTTCAAGGCACTTGACATTGCAGTACTTACATGTGGCCGCGGCTGCTTCAGACCCCGCCTCATTGACATCAATGGACGCCTTCTGTATAATCTTGGAGACCATTACGTTCGTGTGTGGCATTAACATTGCATCCACCTGCGAGTTCTTCTGGAACATGCGACGCACATTCATCTGAAACGGATGAAGGGAGAGCTCTCAAGTCCTAAGTTGCGTTTGAGCCTTATCTGCTTACTTACCTTCTGCAGGGGTCCAGTCATGTCCTGTTCGAACTCAATCCGGAACCTAGGAATGCGAACTGTCACAGATTCTCTGCGCAGCCTGGCTGCAATCTTATTTAAATCGTAGTCTCCCAACTGGTGTTCCAACTGCGCCAATCCATCGATTTCATTTGGCAAAATGAATAGCATGCTGATCGATGTAGACGCGTATGGTAGCTCCAAAGCCTTTGCATTCAACTCCGGCAAGTCCACATAGTCGAATATGTCGTCATTGAACATCATTTTTACATTGACTGCCGTATTGCTATTGACCCGAAATCGCGCGTCCATAGTGTCCATGGCCGAGAACTCGTTGGCCCATCGCGCCTTAAAGAAGACGGCGTTGATCAGGAAAGCCTCAGTTCTATCATCAAAATCATTGGGCGAGACCAGATTCCTTATGCGATTGGACGTGCTATCTGATACCCAGGCATTAATGCGGTCTGCGGTCTTTGGATTCGCAAAGTCGGCTTTCTCGATGTCCGAATTAAAGTATGTGACCGCATAGTTTCGGTAATCGGGATTAAGGCCACCCAGCTTGTAATTATAGAACACGCGACTTAATACGGAAAGCTGAGCATTCGGTGAGCCTCGCAACATATTGAACAGTCTTTCGAAGTCCTCGGCCACGGCTTTCTTCGCTGAGAATTTACCTGCAACTCGTAACTCTTCCGCTGTTTCTCCGCCTGAAGCGCCATAAATGAGGCCCAGTATGGAATGCAGAGAAGATGGTGAGTATACCATGTTTTGGTTTAGCGCATTGGGCCATATCTGTTTGAAAAGGTGCGAGCTGAAATTCTCCATGTAGCTGTACTTTGGTGCAGGACGGGGAGGTCCCTGGGCAACGGGCCCAGCGGAGGGAGCATTATGTGCCTGAACTGTTGTAAACGGTCCAGGGGGGACAGGAGCACCGACTGAAATCGGGGTGGCGATAGGAATGGCACCGGCGACTGCTGGTGTGGGAACAGTTGGCACCACTGGCCGTCCATTGAGATCAACCTGTGGTCGATTTTGCTGCACTGCTGGCTGTGGCAGTGGCTGAGGAACCAACTGCGCTTGGTTGTTGACATCTAGGCGCTGTTGCAGGTCTTTAGGTGGATACTGAGCGGGATTCCGGGGCTGTTGACGCACCAGCGGTATATTTGGAGCATTTGCTGTCGGCTGTGGCTGCTGCGTCTGTATCCGTTGCTGTGGTTGTGGTTGTGGCTGTGGCTGTGGCTGAGGCTGTGACTGTGGCTGTTCGGGAAAGGCCGCTCTGCTGCCGAGAGAGAAGGCGACTAAGTAGCCCTGCTGGCTATAGAGGCCGTGCGCCTGCAGGTGGGGAACCGGCGCCCATGCCAGAAAGGTGAACAGAAACAGCAGTGCTGAAGATGGTGGTGGAGTATTTATGGTTAAAAGTGTTCACATAATGGCAGGGCGATCGTTGCTTACAATACTTGCACGCCATGCTGCTACTGTAGAATGACCAGTAGATGTGAATATTTGTGGAGTAGAACTCGTTTTTGTCGCCTTCTCGCGTTGTAGTGAGCCCGGTGTTCAGCTCTGGCGCAGCTTTAATACAAAACTGATCGACGGGTTGCGTTGCAAAAACCACAAGGCATCGACGTGCGCAAACAAAGCGAACTTAAAAAATGAGATGGGAGCGTGTACGCTTCGATTTCGCTATCAGATAACCGGTCTAGAACGCAGCCAAGGCATCGCTAAAGCGTCCGCTTTGTACGCTACGCGACAGCTCCAAGCTATGGTGTAGTGTATTGGGGAGCCAATAGATTCACCCGATCGATCTAATGGCCACTAAACCAGTTACGAGCGATCACTTTCTGAGAACTTTCTGCTGGCGCTCAGTCTCTCTCGATTGTGCACTCTTAACTGGCTTTCTGCTTCTACTGCTCTAACTGCTCTAACTGCTCAACAGGCTTGGAAAAACCCGGCATGCTAATTACAGAAAGAAACTATGCATATTGCTCAGATCGTATCTACGTCTCGCTATTTCCTCAGAGAGCGCACTCTCTCTCTCTCTCTCTCTCTCTCTCTCTCTCTCTCTACATCGATCGGTGCAGTTGTTTGCCGATTGTCGTAGTGCTTTGGGATTTGCCCGCTGAGTTCCCCGTCTAACACATATACACACTCGGCGCATGAAATGCCCAACTTTCCGCACCATAGGCGACGTCATCGATATGGACTTAATCGGCTCTATCTACTACACAACGGTACTTTGTGGTTGGCCTTTGGGGGCGTTGCTTTGCCTCACTAATTAGTCCAAGTATCAAGTCAGACACCTGCATTGCAGAGTGCATCAGTTTTGTGTTCACTGATTTGTACGCGAGCGAACAAATATTACAAGTATAGCCGCAGGCAACTGGCTTTCTCCATGAAAGAGAGTGCCAGCTCATAAATTGAATATTTCCTGCTATTAAAAAAAAATTATTTATCAAATGCTTAAATGAAATGGACTTAGAAATTTCCCTACCGTATATTATACCCTTCTTCAAATATTTAAATGGCTGTTGACATTTTTATGACTTCGAATATTTAGTCTCTCGAGAACTTTGACTCAACGCTTGGAAAACGTCATTGTGTGTCGTAATGGTCCGCATAAATTAATTTCTCATGCTCATTAGATATTCAAATCTGAGGCGTGATAAAACGAGTAGCAAGACCTCACACGGCATTGCTATGGAAGCCGAGGCAGTCGTCATTCTTAATTATGTAAAACCGACCACAAAATGCATTTGATAACTCGGCATTATATCACATACATGTTCACGCAAAGCTGACCTAATTGCACAGCTAAATGTGTAAACAAAATATAGTCCAATTAGAGCCGCTGCCTCATTACGGTTCGTGTACCCGCCTCTTGTCAAACACATGCCACCTCTTCTGCCTGCCGCCCGAGCTGCCTGAGCTGCCTTAGTTGCACTGTGGTGTCAGAGTGCCCGCAATTGGGCCACCGACAGAACGACCGACGGTGCAGATATAACCACTCACACGCAGGCTATATAGAGCAGTTTCATCGCAGATATGACAACAGCGACAAGTACGAGTACTACAAAATGCAATCAATAAATGAGTTGAGCCGCCGGCATAGTTCATTACTGGGCGACAGGTGGGCCCGACCGGGTTACCTGCTCGGCATGCACTCGAGCTGCACCGCCTGATAAAAGTTCAGCAACCATGCGTGGCTGTAGAAAACGATTAGCTCAATAAATAAAACGAAAAGGCTTGGAGAAAAGAACAGAACGTAGCTCTTATATATGCAAGTATTGCCGGCTAGTTAGACACAAGAAACACGCCGCGAGTTTCTTGAGATAAATGCATCAAAATATCGTATATGAGTTTCGGACTGCATAGTCATTAGGTGAGAACAAAATGAGAACAGCATTATTTTAAATGGGAATACCCTTCAGTTGTTAAATTCAAATTCAAATTCTTATGTTTGATTTGCAGCTTCTCCCAAGCCACTCATTAATTGCAGCTCACGTACATTTAAATTTAAATGAATCCACAGGAAGTTATAATCAAAACATTTATTGTTTGAGTGGCAGGAAGCAATTTACCGTCGTTATCATTTGTAACATTTATGAATAAGACCTTTGTTCTTAAAAATAACTTTAATTACAACAATAAACAAATTTAAATTCATGTCCTCGCTTTTATTAGTTACATATAGCAACGCCAGATTTTCAACTGAAAAAATTATACATAAATAATCATAAATAACCATTTAATGTAGACAACTCTAAAATGGAAATGTTTTGGTTCAAATACACAAAGTAGGTAATAATTTTTGATCCGCAATATTACTAAGCAGATTCATTTTTTAAGCTTTTCAATTATAAAAACGTCATAAGCGTCTATAAAATGTATATATTTTAAGATAATATTCATTTGAATTTATGAATTTGCAACAATTAAAATGAATGAACTAAATAATATTGTTACACTTCTGGGAAAAACACAAAAAAAATTAAAATCACTTAAATTAATAGCTTTAAAAGCTACTGTTTTTTATTTTCTGCTCTTAACAAATAACATCATTATGAAATGTTTGTCGAAAAGAGAGCTCTATATTTAATTTACTTGAACAATACTAATATAATTATAATGTTCGTTTATTTTAATTCACATTTATTAGCATCAGAAGTTAGCTAAACGATTAGTACAATTCATATTTGTTTAACAAAAATTAATTACTACTTATGTATATTGTTTGAGTCAAAACTAGTTAAGCAATTTGTTGCCAAAGCTTGTTCGCAACATGTTGCTGTTACTGTTGCTATTGCTGTATTGCTGTCAACAAACCGCAAAGCGATTTGTACGCAACACATTGAAAGTCAGAGTCAGAGTCACAACTACAACTACAACTACAATTACAGCCACAACCGCAGTCGCATTTAATTAATTTGCATGTTCAGTCAGTCAAGCATTGGGCAGGCTTGCAGTCATGCGACAGACTGATGGACTGACTGCCTGACTGACTGCCTGTGAGAGTATGTACGAGTATGCCTGTTCGAGTATGTAGAGGGCGAGAAAAATAGGCGCGAAAACGGCTTGCGCAAGCGCCCAGGCGGCTACAACAAAATCGCATTAAATTACACGTTTGCCGCACGATTGGATTTTGCATATATGGCTATATGTACCAACATGTACGGGCATGCATTTAATTGTGGTAATAAATCAAAGCCGTTTCTACAATCACAATATTTACACTTGTCCCCAATTATGCAATTGCCGGCCGTAATTTGCATCTCAGGTGGGCAGTGCCATAAAAGCGAAGAAACATTTTATTTCGCCTAATTTAATTCATTTTGACAATTGGATTATTGGAATTGTACTCTAAAACGCACTGCTGCCTCATGTTGTCCAGTTGGTGTCGTAACGAGCTCGTTGAAAGTTCCACTGCCGCATGTTACAGGCTCATCTGTCAGCTTCTCATAACTACTTGGCTACGTTGCGGACATGCTAGTGCTCCAGCTGGCTGGACGCAATTGCATCCTGCCGCAATGCATCAATTAAAGCGACATAAAAGTTGCAGGAAACTATAATTTCCATGCAGCTGAATCATCGCAAATCGCGGCACTCTCTGAAGGCCCATAAATCTGGCACATGCGTTTAGCGGCATTTATAGAAATTACCAGACCAAAAGTGGACAATGACAGGCAGGAAGGCAGGCAGGCAGACGGGCAGGGAATACGGGAGAGCGGGCATGTAATCGCTCTTTAAATTTGTTCTTCGTGATGTAATCATTTTGATGTTTGCGACTGCAACAGCGACTGCAACGACTTCTGCGCCTGCGCCTGCGCCTTCTCCCGCATCTGGCAGTGCTATTTTGTAGCTGACTTGCTTCCTGGCCATGGCCAAGCGCCCGTTTCGTACGTTAGGCGCCATAATGGCTTAAACGTACTCGTACACACACCCACCCACACAAACACTCGAGTGGATGCCAGCACTGAGGTCAGCAGCCACTTCGCATTGCCATTGTTCGCTGTTTTTTCATTTTTGTTTTTTCTCTGTTTTTTGGGTTGGGTTTGGTTTCTCGGTTTCTCGGTCTCTCGGCTTGGGTTTTCCGCAACTGCGCACCAATCGCCGCCAGCGCCTTTGTTCGTATTCTTTCCTAGGCTCCAGCCTCTGTCCGCCGCTGCGTGTTTTCCTGTGCACATTTTTATTGATCTAAATTTTAGGTTGTAAATATATACGCTAGCCTGTGCTTATCGGCTGTCGGCCGGTCAGTGGCATTAGCTGCCTAATGGCGAACCATTCGATTGCCATTTGGCTTTGTGCAAACGAATGCTGCAATTGCTATAATTTGCTTGTGTGGCTAATGTACAATGATTTAAAATTTAAATATCCAATAAGTGGACTTGTAAATCGGCGATCGACTGCTAATGGCAGTGTCTTAGCAAATTCAGTAGGACAGAATTAAAATCAAACTTAGTATAAAGCTAAAGCTTCCAGCTATTCAGACTCTCAAAGCCAGAGGGAAAGGAGGAAAACATACGACCGTTACAAGTACAATTGAAATGCAGATTGTGCCACGCTTAATTGGGGATCTATGCACGCCATTTCTGTGCGCTGCCACGCCCTAAAACACGCAATTTTTTTTTGCGAAATAAAGCATATTAACAGTTACTTTAATTTGTGCAGAAATCTGGCAAAGAGATTAGCTGGCAGAAAACGCAAGCTGCAATAAGATAGACTAATAAGTACAGAAAGGCACAGAAAGAGGGCAATTTTCTAGTGCATTTGGTTTTATTTCATATACGTGTATAGTATTCTTTTCGTTTTTGTTTTGCCAACAATTTCATGTCAATATATCAAAATGCGGAACCCTTTCATTAGTGCCCGGGACAGAGCCACAACTGCACCAGCAACACAATTTATATACGTGCAAACATGGCCAGGAACAAGAACAACTACAAGAACAAGAACGGCAGACAACAATATAATAATGATGAATTGCGGTATTATCGCATAGTTAAAGAAAATAATACAAAGCCAGAGCTTTGATAGCTGGGCCAGCGCACTCAAAACTGGAGCAGGCGCAGGCACACGAACATTGCCGGGCTGTTGCAAAAAAAGCACAAAAAAAAGCAACAAAAAACAAAACAAAAACGTTGGAAAGTGCACGCCAGGCCCAACTTACAAGCGAATAAGTTAAGGCAGTTGCGGCGGCAGTTCAGGGCCGCAACAATTTCTCCAAGCGCCTTCACTTACCCATGCATCTACAATTTGAAAAAGAGGCCACAATGATTTGTAATAACTTCATGCTAAATCGCTGAAATTATTCAAATTTTATTCAAATTTGAGTGTAGATTTCAATTGAAGGCGACCCAAAAAAAAGGTCTACTGAAGCGCAATTTGCAAATTATTTTCGTTTGCAGAAATGGAAAGAAACGAATTTAAATATTTATCTTTCTTGCTCTAACATATTCCCCATATAATGTCTAAAATCAGGTTGATCTGCTTGCTCTTAGCAAAAGATTCTGTATCGGCATTTAATGAGCTGATATCCACATTCTAAAGGACTTCATGAGCATCCATTGGCTGGGAGTTACATTTGATTTTGTCACACAACTTCTCTTCTTACTTCTGATATATCAAATAGAATAAAACAACAAATTTTAAAAAAGAAATGTAAATCCAAACTAGTATATACCCTAAATTCCTAATAAAAGAAATGAACAGATACAGTTCTGCTAGAAGAACACAGTTAATTTCAAATGACGATGCAATTGCTTAGAGGACTGATTAGAACAAAGGTAAAGTGTTAAAGATCGACCCGACTATTGGCAAGCTTCCGGCGCCTTACCCTTGCCACGGCCCTGGCCGAGGCCCAATACAAATATGTAACTTCTTGGCGCTAGACAAGCGCAGCAGACACGCAGAGCAGCCAACAAACACCATCACGTACACGAACCCCAATCGATGCAACCAACATAGAAAGGTGGTCGTACTTCTAAAACTATTTACCTGAAGCTCTGCTAGTGATGAAGATTTATTTAAATTGCATGCCCCGGCTGGTGGCCTCATAAAAGAAAAACTTCGAGAGTTCTGAAGAAGGCAGGAGAACATGCTTTATTAAATTAGGGTCCATGCGGCGTATACGCAACGTGCTTCAATCATTCGCACTGTCTTGCTGGCCGTCTGGCACGTATGCGGCCGGCTGCAACATGCATAATTGCTCATTTCTGTTTACCTGAGTTTGCGTTTCAATTCGCCAGAGTGGGCCAGATTATCAACAAGCTGGCCAACAGAAATGAAAATTTAAGAAAAAAGAAAAAAACAAAACACTCCCAATAGTGTTGTTGTAGCTGCACTTTAACATTTCGCCATGCCACAGATCTGAGCCAGAGCCGATTTTGCAATTAAAGCTCGATTTACAGCCATTGCCAACGACTACGCCTAAGCCCCAAAACTAAACGAGCCCAGCGCGCGCCTCTGGATCCACCCAGATCGAATTAGGTAAGACAAAGAGAGATATATATATATAGAGAGAGAGAGGCTCCGGCTGTTGTTGTTGTTGTGCTTGTGCTTGTGGTTGTGGTTGAGCTTAACGTCAGACAATTGCATTTGACATTTAGACAAACTGCAAAAACAACAGGCACTGAAAACCAATTTAAAAGCTGCAGGGTCTTGAGCATAACTGTATTAAGGCAGGCGGCGAACCACTGAACCACCATCAAGGCAACTTGGCAGCCGCACCTTGGCGGCTGTCAGTTATTTATTCGGTCTGTCCCTGGCCACTCTTCTAGGCTTCTAGGCTGCGGATCCGTGTACGCGGCAGGCGCATGCGCAGGCGCATCTTGCCAGAGCATAACAGTTTTGACAATTTACCACCAGAAGGCGCAATGGCGGCGCACAGCTGACGTCTGACTATTTGTATAATTGGCATCTCTAATTTTTCTTGAAAATGCGACGTTTCTGCTGCTGCTGCCATTGCTGCCTCACCGCCTGGCGAATCGCTCTGAAGATCTTTCTAGCTAGCCGCAGCTACCAGTTTCAGCGTTCAGCGTTCAGCGTTCTGCGGCTCAGTGACTTATTATATAGTAGTATATACTTGTATAGTAGTTTGGGGTTTGTGCTTGGAAAATTCACGACCAGCAGCGCTATATTCTTGTTTTCTATTTTTGTTAGCTTTGTTT